TATCATATTATATTTATTGTTACTTTTATAATATTTTAAACTAATATAAAACAGCTGTTTTTTGTTCTCCGTAAATCTAGTGTTAATGAAACATTATTTGCATGCCAAAAATTAATTTTCGTTCTTCTCGAATAATCTGACATTTTATATTCACGATTCTAATAAATATATATATATATAAGAGATGAGGCAATACCGAACAGTAATATTCCAAGGAAAATGTAGGGATGATGCACTTTATACTGATGGCTACGGGTATCTGTGGCACCAAAATATGAAGTACTGTTTTCTGCACACCCAGTACTTGATCGTACCATCTCGACTCGTACACACTTCGAACCGTAGAACCACTCTGATCATAGCCAGTCCATACAGAAACGGACGGAGAATGGAAATTAATCTTAACAAAAATGGAAAATCGAAGAACACATTTATAAAATTCATCACTCACCACATTTATTAATTTGTCCGCTGGCAGCACGCACATGAACACCCCTATCAGAGAAATCCAAGCCAAGAAAAAAAACTGCAGTTTTACCAGGAAGGATTGATGCTAAAATACCGTGTATGGTAGCATTCATTTCACTCTACTGAAACGTGTGTCGTAGGTGTTAATAGTACTCACTCCTATAATATTCAGACCACAGAGTACAAGGACTATACTGCCATACACTACCATGAACAAAGCTATGTACCGAGTACCCTCAACGACGTCCTTTGCGAATCTGTATTTAAACAGACACAATTTCGTTATCGAATAATATACAATAATACAGGATGTCCCAATATTATGGTATTTTCGAGAAATGAGGGATTCCTGAGGTGATTCGAAGCAACTTTTTCCTTTGCAAAAATTTTCTCCGAGACACCGTTAACGAGTTATTGGCGAAAAGCGCTGGCCAATGAGAGGCAAGCGAGTTCGTCTAGCGCGAGGCGACCGAGCCAATGCGCGGAACTGGAGCTTTGACCGCTCATTGGCTCGGTCGTCTCGCGCCAGCCGATCTCGCCTCTCATTGGTCACTGTTTTTCGTTAATAACTCGTAAACGAAGCCGCGGAATGCAATTTCGCTAAGGAAAAAGTTGCTTCAAATGATCTGAGGAATCTCTCATTTCTCGGAAGCACCGTAATTTTGGGACACACTGTATATTGGCTTGTTCGGAATGTTCGTGCCGATTTTTGGTTCGTGGCGTAAGGACAGGTCTGATTATGTCAGAGTGATTGAGATCAAACGACATGCGTACATATCGTGAAAGACTGTACTTTCAGGTATATTTGTAAAAAAATTTGATTACGATACGTTAATCTTTGTCAGTTTTATTATGTCTTTGATTATGGAAGAAAACAAAAAGTGCGCGGCTCATGTGTCTTTCATAACTCGACAAAAGTTGTTGGAGAACTATTAATAATAATTAATATTCACCAGAACTCGCGCCCTCCGAATTTCACCTATTTCGATCATTTCAAAATTCCTTTAATGAAAAAAACTTCAACTGTTCGGTTGAGATAAAAAATCATGTGGAAAAGTTTTTCGCTGAAAAACCCGAGAGATTCTGGAAGGACAGAATTTTCCAGTTGCCTGAAAGATGGAGAATAAAACCTATATAATATAATAAATGTATATTAATTTAAATCTTTTGCGTTGTGCAATTTTCCTTCACAATCGGGCACGAACTTTCCGGATTATAAATAACAGTTTATATCGTTTATTATATAAATTATATTACAGTAATGACTCTCTAATTGACACTCAGATTGTGCACGAAAATGAACAATGTGGGAAGAGGAGATACGATTATTCGAGTCTTGCAGCTCGTTTTTATGGTTGTTGATAATTCGTAACTATAAAACGAGGCGCAAGACTCGAATTAATCGTATCTCCTCTTCCGAAATTGTCCATTTTTGTGCGCAATCTAAGCGTCAATAAGGGAGACATTACTGTATATCGTGAAAAGATTCTCAAAGCTCGTTTACCTGGTCACTATGTGATACTTTTTCATGCACACGATCAACGCATCGACGCTGGTAGCTCTTTGCATATCTATCATCAGTATCTCGAACCTCGCCGCAGCGTAGAGAAGCAACAATGCTGTGAACATGGTCAAGCTGATTGCTGCGGCACACTGGAAGCCGGCAAAGGCTTGGTGTACAAAGATTATTGTCCTCACGGGTTCGTAATCAACGCGGAACGGATACTCGGAGACTGTCGGAAATGGCTGAGGTAGGAAGATACTTCCGAAAACGACAACCATCGACGACACGTAATAACTTATTACTATCAGCCCGTAGAATTTGGAATACGTGTCGACGTATCGTTGAAACACACGCCTTTCGTAGGGTTTCGCGTTCCTCAAGGTAACTATTAAAGTCTCGATCAAACGCTGCAATGTATCATTGAAATTATGTTGCGTCTCAAGTATGCGCTTCTTGCCGCTTCTTCCATCATTAGCTGCTACCACTAATCTATGGCCCAAATCTCAAAATATTGAGTCACAGCTTATATAAGATCAACTACTATTACGTTGAATATCTTTTAATTTTATGCTACATGTTTGCCAAAACGAACACAAGCAATTTCCTGGTTTTATGATCACTGCTATACACATGTAAATTGTGCGTTAATTGAAGGTACAAAGAAAAGCAAAGTACGAACATACATTCAAACGAATGCGTGGTAAATTGTCCCTAATTAACGCTCAGACTGTGCAGAAAAATCGGCCAAAAAAGGGGAGATACGATTATTCGAGCCTTGCGACATTTTTGTATAGTTGTTGACAATCGGTAACTATGAAAACGAGCGGCAAGGCTCGAGTAGTCGTATCTTCTTTTCCCAAAAATGATCCATTTCTGTTTCCAAGCTGAGCGTTAATTACGGAGAATTTACTGTTGTCCTGTGGAACCGATGATCGCTTGAAACATTTCCTTAGCCAGAATAGATAGCATATCATTACAAAAACGTAACTCGTTAAGATTCAGTTAAACTGCGCAATTCTGTGCAGGTGTTGTATGCAGCGTATATGTAACGCGCATGCAAATAAATATAGAAAATACATACTATGTACAGTAGTATTGTTAGAGAAACGTTCGTTAGCATAAACTTCAGCGAACACACTTCTAGATCAGGGTAATATGTTTATGGTCGGAAAGCAAACTGAACGAAGCAAAATGAACGACAAAGTTCTTACCTGAAAGCGGTCATACTGACTGCTACAAATCAGTATCTGCGTTAGAAGTTGGGCACAAGCACTTAACATTAGCGCCGCCTTCGTGAATTCGATCGCATCGTCGCGGTGAAGAATCATTGCGTACAATAGCGGAAAAAATAGACCAAGAGCGCTAAGAATATTCAACACTTTCGAGATTCTGAAACACAAAACCTGAGCTTTCGTAGCCACCGCGGGGAGCGGCCAGGCACAGATCAAACCTACGCTAAATCGGACGAACGTAATCGCCTTCTCCGGTGTCACGTTTTCGAACATTGCAATGCGAGTCTAATTGGATATTTCGTGCAACGGAGGCGCCGTGTTATTTGATTTCCACGAGAGTTTACGTGAACGGTTGACGAAATGTTCCGCGCTATCAGCTCGATAAGTGAACCGCGTTTCGTGGCGGAAATATTCGATTCGACGCACAGCGAACAGACTCTGAGGAAAACTCTTTCTCTCCGATCTCTTAGCGAAGAAAAGAATTAATAATAAATGCAGCACTTAGGGAAACTATACACGGACGGTTGCGGAAGTACCTCATCCGTACACGGTAGACATAGATGGGTGGAATAACGTGTGTTTATAACGATTCTAATGATAGCTGGGAGTCTACGAATCTACATGCTAGACGGTGAGAAATCTCACGTATGCAATTTGAAATGCCTGCAACTAGAATTTAGTACATCAACGGAATAAAAATCTACGACTGTCGTTATCGATTAGCGCTGATACCTTCAATTACGTTGATCGACATGAATTTGCATTGATTACCTTCGATATACGTTTTGAGTGTAATTGCCTGTAACTAGAATCTACTCTGCAACAAGAGAAAGTGCACGGCTATTCATATAGATTAGTGGTGATACCTTCAGTTACGTAGATCTATAGAGGTTCGCTTTAGTCACTTTGCGAATACAAGTGTTAGAAAAACCCATTTTGCCAAGTTTCGAGGCGTCTAGTGGTTCATAATCAACAATTATATCTTAAGGTATGTAACAATATCTTGGGGCCACTTTTAGATCAAGTTTTATAGTTTAATATATTGCGTTATGAATTGGTGGACCTGTTTAAACAATAGTTTAAGGCAGTTGAAATGTGCCAAAATTTGCGAACACTTTTCACCTTACTAAGGTAAAGAAGAAAACCAAGCATTAAGAAGAAAATCAATTTATTCCACGCACATAATTGAAACGTGAATGTGATCCTGTCCGTCTCTCAATCCCAAACGAAATTAATTAATTACAATACCAGAGATGATTTGGCTGTGAAAGCGTAAAACGTTTATTAATATCAGTTCGAATAAGAAACCACCGGTAGGTAAAACGTATACATAATACAGCTGGCTGGTGTATTATTTTTGGTTTCAGAGCATAGACGTTTAATGCAGCAGAATGCGTCAATTGTTGCAACAGGTAGCGTTAGCAATGTCAGATGACAATATCTCTTCCGGATCACTCAGTAGAAAACGCAGAGTAGTGAACAAAGAAAACGCGTTTGTAATGTACTAAAAAATCGAAAAACTTGTAGAGAATGTTACTAAAGATCTCGCTGCAAAGTCAAGAATATATATATAAATAAAATATATACCGAACAATAATAGTCCAACGATAGTTGCGGAATAACGTATATGAAGCTGACAAATATTGGCCTCTGTCGCACCATCATGCGGTATATCATTTTCTGCACACTTAAATCTCGTTCGTACCACTTTAAATTGTAGACATTCCGAATAGCACCTTCACTCTGATTAATAAATCACAACTGAGCAACTAATGTAAATAAAATTTTGTCATCTAAATTTTGTCACTCTTCTCAAAGTGATGTTTGAACATATAAATTTGGTATTAGAAACAAATATATTGAGATACAGCAAAAGGGCCACGTTAAGCACACAGACTATGAAAATAATACATTATTAACAGTAAAATAGGTAATAATGTTTCTAGTTAACATATCTTGTCAACGATTACGGCGTTCGTCATGTAAGAGTTAACAATATAGATAATAGATAATAATAAATTTCGTTACAGAAAATACAAATAAACACAATATGCTGATTAAGTTGCAACACACAGTAGATTCCTAAAAGGACTAACTTATATTTAAAAATAATGCAGCCATTAGTACAACTTAATTAATTGCTAACAGTAATCATAGCTAATTAATGACTTACTGCTTCTATCAGACGATCAGCTGGCAACACGCACGTGAAAACTTCTAGCAACACCGTCAGAGCAACAAATGTGAATTGACATTTTACACCAAACGCAAGATGCTGTAAAAAAATATTTCATTTCAATGACGGCTACGTCATTCTAATAATCTATCTTCCTTGACTACGTACCCCAATGATGTTGAGTCCGGCATTTACAAGGATTATACTACTGAACAGAACTGTGGACAATGTTATATATTGGATGCCGCCAACGACATCATGTGCATATCTAAATTAAAGTATTGTAAATCATGACTCTACATGTTGCAATGAAATTAATTATTTTTAAAAGGGAAATCATCGTACAGAGTGAGACACCTAACATTTGTAATCGAAATACCTTTGTTGTTTTTAAAGGTACGACAAATGTCTTGAAAACAAAGTTGGATAGTATAAGTATTCGAAATACTCACACAATTAAAGAATTGAATTCGTACAACTTTTGCTTTCCAATCGTAATATGATGAAATGAAATGCTTCAAGGATATGACATTTTTTGGGGTATTGGTGTGGCGGTCAAAATGTTAAAAGCAACAAAAATATTTCATGTACAAATGTCAGGTGACTCAATCTGCATTTCGTACACGAAAGAAAACTCATATTGGTTATAGATCAATTGCAGACCTTTATGTATTTATAACAATAGTAGAGATTGTTAAACTACCAGAATCGTGCGGGTTAATACAAATGTGATATTCATTTGTAATGAAAATAAATAATATTTTCCTTCGTTCTCACCGCAAGAAATCTTTCAACCAGACACAGCAATTTCTTCCTGGTTTTAGTTTCCATAAATGAGAATTTGTATAGAAATCAGTATAGAAATGAATATCCATAACTTCACCCTATTCTAATTAATGTTCTCACCTTTTCACGTCACCGTACATATTCATACATTCCTTTAAGTCGGCGACAGTGTCAGCCATTTCCAAATGCGACATGAATATGTCGAATCGTGCTGCAGCAAACAGAAGCAGCAACGCTGTCAGTGAATTCAAATTTACACACGAAATATTTTGCAAAGCGACGAATGAATGATTTAAAAAAATGATTGTTCTGATGGGTTCGTAATCGACGCGGAATGGATACTCGGAGATCACCGGGAATGGCTGTTCCAAGAACAAGGTTGCGACCACAATGAGTACCGCGCAAAAATAGGGGACTAATGTGGACGTCCCGTGATATGTAGAATACTTGTCCACGTATCGCTGGAAGATAGCCATTTCATGGGACTTCGCCTTATCTAAATAATTCGTCATTTCCTCGATCAGTCGCTGGAACACATGAGATAACTGTAGATACTGTAGAACGACACGTATTATAACACGTGTTATACATAACATATTCTATAATTGTATGATCATGATAGAAAAGTAACGAACACGGAAGGTAATTCTGCATATTGTTATTTCAGAATTATTAGAGCACGGTGTGACTTCTAAATCCTCCGAACGCGTTTGGGTGCATGCGACGATAAATTAGTCGAAATTTAAAACGTCTCACCTGATAATGATTGTGCTGGATGGTACAGATGATTATACTTGCGAAGTTTTGAAGCAAAGCACATGCGAGACCGAACGTATTGCCGGTGATCACTGGATCATCAATGTGAAGATAAAGCGACCAGAGTGCAGGCAAAAACACTGCGATGGTGAGTAAAGCACCCACAACTTTCAGGAACAGATAACCGTAAAATTGACGCTTGCTCGCTGACGAAGGGAGTGGCCAACCGCAGCAGAAGATAACGCTGTATTTCGTGAAGGTGATAGCCTTCTTCGGTGTTGCGTTTCCGAACATCATAAAGCGAAAAGAAGGGAACGTCGACTGCACTCGAGAAAATGGGAAGCTCCGCGAAATCCGAGGAGGTTCGCGGCGATTGAATTAATAACGAATTAAAAGGCTAGTTATAGGTAACGTTGTCTGCCTCGCGAGGTTCTTGCAACCAGAACAGTGCAATTACAGCCGGAGCCTTCTACTTCCGGCTACATCGATCATACTTCGATTTCTTGTACTCATGTTCCTGATATTTAATATTAAGTCATGGAATTGTTACAACCGCTAATTTGATAACTCATGTTTAACCAAGTATCGACGGGTGCATCTTTGATGTCAAAATTGATATTCTGAGTGAAGACGTTTACATGTTGCGCACGCGACTTTGGGAATGCTGCCTAGATAAATCGTATCATTTCAAACGAGGTTTCGCGATCATATACAAGTGCGAAATATTAGTCAGGTTTTGTTATTATGACCAACGTACACGTTCAAAGGATTGAAAATAGTGGAGCCGATTCGTCGGAAAACATTTATCGTCTGACACTGTAAGTTGTAACACTGTAAGAATCTCTAGTGACACAGTAAGTAGTTGAAACAGCAGTAATCCGTACGTTAACCTAGTTTCATTTCGTCGTTAGTGACGCTAATGACGGTAACAAATAGGATATACCATAACGGCGCGTAAATGATTAAATGTCTGCATCCATCTTACATCATCCACATGGTGCAAATTAAAGTAAATCTGTGACAATTTATAGTTTTCTATGTTACGCGATTTAAATAGAAACGTCGTCATAGAATAAAAACTTCAACTATTAAAAAAGAAGTAAGAAAATTACAAGTTACCCCCTTACGGAAACAGATGTTGAAACAGCGCAGGAAGTGAAATTTTTGTATGCAGCTGAAAAATAGAAAAGGCAATAACGGGGTAGCGGTAAAATGATAGTTGCGTGCATAAAGTTCCTTTCGATCACCGTATAATTAATAGATACAATTGAAATGTGAGAAAGCAATTGATATAGGGTAACGGTGGCGCTTACTGTGGGGTGACCAGATGCCGCGCTTTTGGTTTCTTCCGGGCATATTTAACTTCTTATTCACCGAATAAGTCATATGTAGGGTTTTTCTGAGAATGAAAGGCAAAGAAATCAAGAGCGAGTGTCGTAAATTACTGAATCAATTAGACCAGTGCTCGGAACGCTTCGACACGCAACATATCTGCCGCCAAAGCTCCGCCTCCTAACCACCGTCTGACTCCTCCTACCGCCTGGCATCTCGCTGCTCGCGTTGCTTCAATCGCCTTACCGGCGCAGCTTCTCTATTCCCGCGTTGCATCCCTTCGCGGTTGCAACGTTGTGTTCCAAAGCGTTCCGTGCCCTGAATTGGACCATGACTCGCAATTAAGTGCACGCAACACTGCGATGTCGAAGGCTTCGCCTCCTGACTCCTGTCGCTAGAATACTAGAAATGATTTGTTGGTTTACGAACGAAACGTTTATTAATATCAGTTGGAATAAATAACCACCGGCAGGTAAAGTGTATATACAAAACAATACTGTTGTATTATTTTAGATTTCAGAGCATAAACGTTTAATGCAGTAGAACGTATCATTTGTAGCAACAGGTAGCATTAGCAATGTCAGATGACACTATCTCTTCCGGTTCACTCAGTAGAAAACGCAGAGTAGTGAACAAAGAGAAAGCGTTTGCAATGTACTAGAAATCGAAAAACTTGTAGAGAATGTTACTAAAAATCGCTAAAAAGTCAAGAATATGTATAAATAAAATATATACCGAACAGTAATAGTCCAACGATAGCTGCGGAATAACGTATACGAAGCTGACGACTATTGGCTTCAGTCGCACCATCATGCGGTATATCATTTTCTGCACACTTAAATCTCGTTCGTACCACTTTAAATTGTAGGCACTCCGAATAGCACCTTCACTCTGATTAATAAATCACAATTGAGCAACTAATGTAAATAAAATTTTGTAATCTAAATTTTGTCTTCTCAAAGTGATGTTTGAACATATAAATTTGGTATTAGAAACAAATATATTGAGATACAGCAGATAGCCCACGTTAAGCACCTCGATTATGCAAATGATGCATTATTAACAATGAAATGGACAATAGCGTCTCCAGTTAAAAAATTGTGTCAACAAGTACGGCATTCGTTATATAAGAATAAGCAATATCGCTAACAGATAATAATAAATTTCGTTACAGAAAGTACAAATATACATGATATGGTAATTCAGTTGAAACACTCAATAGTTTCGTACTAATATTTAAAAGTCATGCATATGTCAATATACCTTAAATAATTGTTTACAGTAATCGGATTCAATTAATTACTTACTGCTTCTATCAGACGGTCAGCTGGCAATACGCACGTGAAAACTTCTAGCAACGCCGTCACAGCGACAAATGTAAATTGACATTTTGTAGCAAACGCGAGATACTGTAAAGAAATGTTTCATTTCAATGACGTCTACGTCTTATCAATACATGTTTCTTTATTACATACCCCAATAATATTGAGTCCACAATTTACAAGGATTATACTACTGAACAAAATTGTGGACAATGTTATGTATTGGATGCCGCCAACGACATCATGTGCGTATCTAAATTGAAGAAATTCATGAACCTACATGTTGCAATAAATTGAATTATTTTTAAAACTGCAATCATCATGCTTGGTGAGACAGCTAACATTTGTATTCGAAATGCTACATTGTTGTGATAAATTTTAGGGTGTTAAGATGGGGCGGTCAAAGCATCAAATGCAACAAAAATATTTCATGAACAAATGCTAGGTGACTTACTTTGCATTTTCTAGATATAGATTGCAGATAGACGGCAGACCATTATGTGTTTATGGCAATAGTAAATTGTTAGAGTACAAGAATCCTGGTTAATAGAAATGATATTCATTTATAATAAAAATAAATGATATTTTTCATTGTTCTCACAGCAAGAAATCTTTCAACCAGTCACAGCAATTCTTACCTGGTTTAAGTTTCCATAAAACCAAGTATAAAAATGAGAAATCGCATAGAAATCTGTTGCTTGCTCGTAAAGAACGAACTGGACGCATATAAAAACGGATGACCCTAACTTGACCGTATTCTGATCAACGTTCTCACCTTTTCACATCATAGTACATATTCATGCATTCCTTTAAGTCGGCGACAGTAACAGCCTTTCCCAAATGTAGCATGAATATGTCGAATCGTGCTGCAGCGAATAAAAGCAGCAACGATGTTAGCGTGTTCAAGCTTATACTCGAGCTGCTTTGTAAAGCGACGAAAGAATGATTTAGGAAAATGATTGTTCTGATCGGTTCGTAATCGACGCGGAATGGGTACTCGGTGACCACGGGGAACGGCTGTTCCAAGAACAAGGTTGCGACCACAACGACTGTCGCGCAACAATAGTGGAATAATGTAGATGTTCCGTGATATGTAGAATACTTGTCCACGTATCGCTGGAAGATAGCCATTTCATGGGACTTCGCCTTATCTAAATAATTCGTCATTTCCTCGATCAGTCGCTGGAACACATGGGATAACTGTAGATACTGTAGAACGACACGAATTATAATACGTGTTATACATAACATATTCTATAATTGTATGATCATGATAGGAAAGTAATGAACACGGAAGGTAATTCTACATATTGTTATTTCAGAATTATAAGAGCACGGTGAATTTCTAAATCCTCTGAACGCGTTTGGGTGCTTGCGACGATAAATTAGTCGAAATTTAAAACGTCTCACCTGATAACGATTGTGCTGAATGGTACAGATTATTATATTTGCGAAGATTTGAAGTATAGCACATGCGAGACCGAACGTATTGCCGGTGATGACTGGATCATCAATGTGGAGATAAAGCGACCAGAGTGCAGGCAAAAACACTGCGACGGTGAGTAAGGCACTCACAACTTTTAGGAATAGATAACCGTAAAATTGACGCTTGCTCGCTGACGAAGGGAGCGGCCAACCGCAGCACAAACTCACGCTGTATTTCGTGAAGGTGATAGCCTTTTTTGGTGTTGCGTTCCCGAACATCATAAAGCGAAAAGATGGGAACGTCGACTGCTCTCGAGAAAATGGGAAGCTCCGCGAAATCCGAGGTGGTTCACGGCGATTGAATTAATAACGAATTAAAATGCCAGTTATAGGTAACGTTTTCTGCCTTGCGAGGTTCTTGCAACCAGAACAATGTAATTACAGCCTGAGCCTTCTACTCCCGCCTACATCGATCATACTTCGATTTCTTGTATTCATGTTCGTGATATTTAATAATATGTCATGGGATTGCTACAACCGTTCATTTGATAACTCACGTTTAACCAAGTATCGACGGGAGCATATTTGATGCCAAAATTGATATTCTGAGTTAAGACGTTTACATGTTGCGCACGCGACTTTGGAAATGCTGCGTAGATAAATCGTATCATTTCAAACGAGGTTTCGCGATCATATACAAGTGCGAAATATTAGTCAGGTTTTGTTATTATGACCAACGTACACGTGCTAAGGATTGAAAATAGGGGAGTCGATTCGTCGGAAAACATTTATCGTGTGACGCTGTAAGTATTAACAGTGTAAGAATCTCTAGTGATACAGTAACTAGTTGAAACAGCAGTAATCCACACTTTAGCCTACTGTTTCACATCATGGTAACTGCTGCTAATGACGATCACAAATAGGAAATACCATAACGCCGCGAAAAACTTTAATTATGTCAGTGCTCGGAACTCTCCGCCTTCTGACTATCGCCGCAGCGTCTCGTTCCTTGCGTTGCTTCCATCGCCTTATCAGCGCAGCTTCTTTCCCCGCGTTGCATCCCTTCGCGTTTGCAATGTTATGTTCCAAAGCGTTCTGTGCTCTGAATTAGACCATGGCTCGCAATTAAGTGCACGCAACATGGCGATGTCGAAGGCTACGCCTCCTGACTTTCGTCGCACGATCCGCACACCAATGGTCGCCTGTTTCGGCTCGCTACGCATCAGGCATGTGTGCCTGTTGCTTTGTGTGTGCGTATTGGTATCTGCGTATTTTGGGTTATATTCAGATTATATTTGGTTAATATTCCATTCCGAACAAGAAGACCAAAAATAATACCGATAAATGTGTAAAATAATGCCGGTATAATAAATTTTCCCCAACTATTCCTCAGCTTGGAAACAGAAACGTACAATTTGGGAAGAGGAGATACTTAGATTACTTAAGCCTTGCGATTCGTTTTTATAGTCGTAGACTGTCAACAATTATAAAAACGAGCCGCGAGGCTCGAATAAAGGTGTCTCCCCTTCTGAAATTGTTCAGTTCTGTTTACAAGCTGTGGGCCAATAGCAGAGTATTTACTGTATTTATTATCCCATTAGAATGTAAATACACGATTGTTGACATCGATTAGTACTGATGTCTTCAATTACGTTGTTCGATAGGTATTTCTATTAACTAGTTTGAATAAACGTATTCTGCACGGTCCGAAAGTTGTGAGAATCAAGTTTTAGGAGAACTAAAATTGTCAATTTCTGATACGTCTTGTGCTAATTACATTTTCAGGAATGTAACAGTGATCTGGTTAAGGTTTTATATACAATATATATTAATAAGGTTTTATAATTTAATATTATTTCGTGACTTGGCAAACCTGTTTAAACAATAATTTAGGACAGTTAAAATGTGCCAACATTCGCGGATGCTTTTCATCTTAATTCTGAAATCAAGCATTAAGAAGGAAATCAATTTATACCAAGTATGAATGACAGTGATCGTCACTCGATCTCAAACGATGTTACTCAATTACAATACCAGAGATGATTTGTTGGTTCACGAATGAAACGTTTATTGATATCAGTTCGAATAAATAACCACCGGCAAGTAAAGTGAATACACGAAACAATACTGGTGTATTATTTTAGATTTTAGAGCATAAACGTTATATGCAGCAGCCTGTATCAGTTGTTGCAACAGGTAGCATTAACAATGTCAGATGACATTATCTCTTCCGGTTCACTCAGTAGAAAACGCAGAGTAGTGAACAAAGAGAAAGCGTTTGCAATGTACTAAAAATTGGAGAACTTGTAGAGGATGTTACTAAAAATCGTTACAAAGTCAATAACATGTATAAACATATACCGAACAGTAATAGTCCAACGATAGTTGAGGTATAATGTATATGAAGCTGACGACTATTGGCTTCTGTCGCACGATCATGCGACATATCATTTTCTGCACACTCAAGTCTCGCTCGTACCACTTTAAATTGTAGACACTCCGAATAGCACCTTCACTCTGATTGATAAAGCACAATTGAGCAAACAATGTAAATAAAACTTTTTTATCTAAATTTTGTCACACTTATCCAGGTGATGTTTGCACATACAAAATTTGATGTTGGAAATAAACATATTGAGATAGCCATTGCTGAGCATCTCAATTATGCAAATAATACATTATTAACAATAAAATGGATAATAATGTCTCAAGTAAAGCGTTCGTTATATAAGAAGAAGCAAAATTGGTAACAGATAATAATAAATTTCGCTACGCGGAAAATACGAATGCACACAATATTATTAATTAGTTATATCTAAAAGTAATCAGCCATTAGTATACCTTAATTAATTAATTACAGTAATCGGAGTAAATTAGTGACTTACGACTTCCTTCAGACGGTCAGCTGGCAACACACACGTGAAAACTTCTAGCAACCCGGTCAGAGCCACAAATGTAAATTGACATTTTACAGCAAACGCTAGATGCTGTAAAAAAATATTTCATTTCAATGACGGCTACGTCATTCTAATAATCTATCTTCCTTGACTACGTACCCCAATGATGTTGAGTCCGGCATTTACAAGGATTATACTACTGAACAGAACTGTGGACAATGTTATATATTGGATGCCGCCAACGACATCATGTGCATATCTAAATTAAAGTATTGTCAATCATGACTCTACATGTTGCAATGAAATTAATTGTTTTTAAAAGGGAAATCATCGTACAGAGTGAGACACCTAACGTTTGTAATCGAAATACCTTTGTTGTTTTTAAAGGTACGACAAATGTCTTTTGTGTGTGTGTGTGTGTGTGTGTGTGTGTGTGTGTGTGTGTGTGTGTGTG